TCGCATGCGGCTTACTCACCAGATTTGGCTCCGTCCGATTACTACTTATTTGCATCGATGGGACACGCACTTGCTCAGTAGCGCTTCACTTCTTACGAAAATGTACGAAAAATGGCTAGATGACTGGTTTGGCTCAAAAGAGCAACAATTTTTTTGGCATGGCATCCACAAATTGTCAGACAAGTGGGAAAAATGTATAGCTAGCGATGGGCAATACTTCGAATAAAATATTTTTTATTATTTTCATGCAATAAACGTGTATTTTCTATTAAAAAATTCCGGTTTCATATTTACATACCAGGTACTATATGTCTGAAGAGGGCCTAATCGAAAGACCAAAACATGTTATAATGTAATATAATTATAATAAATTAGGATTTAATGATTTCTACTTTGTAATATCTTGATTTTTTTAACATAAAATTTATATTTTTGGACTCTTATATGACCTTTTATTATATTTATTTTTTATGAATAAACTGGGCTGTTGATTGATGAGATAATAATACAGGCCTGCGATGGTTAGGAAACAGAAACGAGAGTAGTCATTTCTAACGTAATTTTTCATATTGAATCGAAATCTGCCAACAGAATTGTTCCATCACGTTAGGATTTCGAGATATTCTAACCTAAAGTTGCAAAAAACACTTTTTGTTAGTAAATCCGATTTTCTGCCGTATTTAGAGTATACCTCTCTCAACATTAGCACTCATTTTACATAAAAGTACTAAATCTTACCTTTCAAACCCATATTGTTTTAACCCGATATCATTTTATTTTACTGAGATATGACAAATTGAATTTTCGGAGTTTCAGTAACAACTGAGTAAATTATATACATAAACATATTGCTATCAAGAAATATATTTCTTATTCATTGGCAGAAAATTGAACTAAAGCTTCCAAATCCTAAGCCCTTAATGTCTAAACTCCTGATCCATAAACCACCAACCTTGAAATCCTAAAATCTATTTTGATTTATAATTTTATAAGCAAAAAATCAGTTCTGAAAACTTTAAACGCGTGTTTCTTAAAACGAGGTTTTCAAAGTCGGTGTACACGATGGCCCGTATTCAGAACGCGTTTTTATCGATAAAAGCGCACATTTATCTCTGAAATTCTATAATATACGTGACGTA